GTGACTCTGCCAGCAAATAAAATGATTTGCAGACTGAGTTCAGGCGGCCTAAAGCAGTTGCAGGCGTACTACCTGGCCGGCTCGCCGACCGATGTGTGTGTGGCTGGTTCCAGTCTGTGGGCTTGTTGCCCAGATCAGAAAGCCCTCTCTATCCTGAACCCCCACGGAACTGATGTTTTGCAGACCAAAAGACTGGAACGCTTTTGTCCACTGAATATTTGCCGCACAACCGACGACAGGTGGTTGGTTCGTGACGATCACTCGCGCGTCTGCTGGGTCCAAATGACAGATGGCTATCTTCGATTTGAACCCCTGTGCTGGGAGACGGGTATCGTAAATGCCCTCAAACTCCACTGTCTCCATCCAGTGAACGGGACCCTCATTGAGGGTCTCTGCGGTGGCCTTCCACGGGACGGTGGCATTGTTGGTGCCGACGAAAACGGTCTGTGGATTTGTGTCCCCCGAAGTTAGCCGGCTCTTTTCTCCGAAATCTTAAACTTTTTTTCACTCCTGAGTCCGATATCAACTACTTTTATTCTATTGTACTTTTTTCAATTTTATCAAGTTTTATTCACCTTCCACTACTTCTACTCGATATCCTAAAATAAAATTTGCGATTTTCCGTCTTTACATCACTGGAAAAGTGTATTTCTTGGTTTGTGGAGTAGTGGCCACTGGAACAGACTCCCCATAGACAAAGAAAAGGGGGACTTAAGTGGCCATTTCAGTTTTATTATCCGTCACCAGCGGGTCGTACCAAACCCCAGGTGTTGTAGCACCCCAGCTGTGGAAAGTCTGAGATTTGAGCCTCGAATCTTTGTGGATTGAATTGAGCCACGGGCCCGTTGTCCTGTCGGTTGTGATCAGGAATATTAACATAGATGGGTATGTCGAAAGTGTGATCGTCGGCTACAGAAGAGTCCTCCAAGTCAGAAGAAGGTTGGAACGGCCTTTACTGCGAGAAAATGAGCTTTACAAAGGGCTCAGCAGAAAACGGTGTTGTGTGCAGTCTCTTCAAGCCTGTGTTGTGTCTGTGCCTGTGCGCGCGGCTTACAGGATCCCGAGACATGTCCTGCAGCCAATCAGGAAGTGGTGCGCACTGATT